TATTGTGTTTGTGTCCGTTTTCTTTCACTGTCTGAACCAATTTATCGCCTTCCACCATTCTTGCACTGTTTTACTCACCGCTACTCCTCCCTTTTTTGCCTTTATCCATTTTTCGATTAGTCTGCTTCTTGTCTCATCGCACCATTCTATTAACCTTCTCCCCTCGCTCCTCGTTGTCTTGTCCTGTTATTTCCTTTCTGTTATTTTTGTCCCTTCCTCCATTCCGTATTCTGATATTCCTGGTAGTTTTTTTTCCATTATTCCTCGTTCTTCCCTACGTTAGTTACATTTTCTACGTTCCCATGCCAAATTTTAATTGCCCTTTCTCTCTTCTCCTCGCCCGTGCAGGGCTCCTGATTGAAAGGGCCCTCCTCTCGCTCTTTTTTCTCTTTTTCCTCTGCTTGAATGTTCCTTCCTTCTCATCCCATTCTAGCCAGGTCCCTGAATGTTCCTTCCTTCTCATCCCATTCTAGCCAGGTCCCTCCCACACAGATGCTGTTGTATCCCGTGCATGCCTCTTTTTGTAGTTTTCTCTAGTTCTTTACCTCCCCTTCCATCCATGCTTGCACCTCCTTCTGTCTTTTTGTGAGATCATCCGTTATGTATGTAGCCTTGTTATGTGCTACCTCTTCCACTCTGGCCAGCCATCCCCCTTCCTCTCTGCTGTCCAGTTTCTCTGTTGTCACTTTCAGGTCCAGTACCTCCAGCATCCAGTTCTCTAGCCCCTCTTTCTTTGTTCTCGTTATCAGGGTCAGTCCCTCAATAATCATGTTCTTCCTTTTATTTCTCCTCAGGTCCAGTTCTATTTGCCGTTCTTCCTTCGTCAGTTTCCCCGGGGGTGAGGTCTTGTCTATGGTTAATTGCCTTTCTTCCCTTTCATTTGTTCTTTCCTCGTTCTTACTTGGACCCTCTTACTTGCCCTCTTCTCCTCTCTTTCTCCTTTCGTTGAGTCCTCTCGTTCCTTCCTTCCCTCTTGCTACCCTTTCCTCTACCTATTGATTTTCTCGGTCTTCCCTATCTTTTTTGCCTTCTCTGCTCTGCCTGTTGTTCTTTGCCCCCATCCCTCCTGTCTTCCACACCCCTTGTGTTGGCCTCATCTCTTTCTCTTTTTCTTGGTGGGCTTTCATCGGTAATCTGTGGTCTCCTTCCGATTACCTCATTCCCTTCTTCCTCCTCCTCCATTCTTTCATCGTCCGTTCCTTGTATTTCCCCCGTCTTCTCCTCTTTTCTCAGCTTTTTGCCTCCATGTCTCTGCCATTTCTTTCCACATCCTTACCCTCCCTTCTAGCTCGTCGCTTTTTTCATCACTCTGTCTCAGTCTCTCCTGTAGGTTTCTGAGATGGCCCCTAATCTGGCTCTCCTGATTCTCCTCTCTCCTCCTCTCGCAGTCTACACCCGTAACTCTCCCTCCTCCCAGTTCTGTTCTAATTAGTGCTTCTATGTCCGCTATTCTTGCCTCCCACTTTTCCTTTTGCCGTTTTTTCCAATTTTCCATCCATCCCTTCAGTTTTTCCATTTCTTTCTCCTCCCATCTTTTTTCTTTCTCCTTTGGGTCTTTCCTTTTATTTTCTGCGTTTTAATAGTTCCTTTCCTCGTTTTGTTGGTCCCTACTCCCGTCTTTTTGTGGTTGTTCTTCCCATTGGTGCAGGTCTGCTTTTCTCGTGTCACCCTTCCCTATTTCCCTTCGTGCCGGTTTGTTTGTCTGCTTTTCTGCTTCTGTCATTTTATCCTTCTCTATGCTATCCTTTCGCCTGCCGTTGTCCTTGTTACCGTCTGGCGTCCTTGGCAAGGTCTACGTCGGTTTCAGGATCTCTATTTCCTTTCTTTTTTCTTTTCTCTTTCTGCCTTCTCCTCTTCTTGATTTTCATCTGTCCTTCTTCTCTTCTCTTCTTCCTCACTAACGTATTGTTCACTCGCACCCACTCCCTGCTTTTCCTCTTTATTTCCCTGCATATTCTTCCTTTCTTTCATCTCTGCCCAGTATTCCTTCAGTTTCTTCCCGCCTGTAGTCGCACTTACTTTCCCTGGTTCTTTTTTATCCTCTGGGGTTGTCCTTTTTCTGCCTCTGCCTGTTCTCGTTGTTGTCGCTGCTTTCTGCTTCTGTTCATTCCCTTCCTTGCCATGCCTTTCTGTCTCTTTTGTTTCCGTCTTTCTCAGATTGTAGCCACCGTCCACCTCCCTCTCCCGATCGTCGTCTGCCGCTATCGTCTTCTAACCTCTCCTTCTTTTTCGCGTTCATTATACTTCTCGCCTCTTTTTCCACTTACCTTGATTCCACTAGCACTCTTTGTTCTTAAAAAATACTTGAATTTCTCCGCAATGCTTTCTCATGCGTGTCACTCTAGTCGACGCCCTCTCGCGGTCCAATTAATTAAAATATGTGCATCAGTTCTCTCTAAGTTTTCGAGATATTGCATCTTCCTGTTTTTTTGAAAACGAAAATTGTTAGCACGGTAGCGTAGCGAAAAAATCATTGATTACTTGAAATTTGGTACTAAATGACCCCCGGGTACTTACCCGACAAAAGTCAGTAATTCGAAAAACGCACTTATGTACTCGATTGTACATCGTTAGTACATGATTGTACCTATAAATTTCTTGTTTGTACATCAACTGATTAATTTTAAAAAATTAATTAAATTTCGGCATGATCTTAGCCGACAACAAATTAAAAATTGATCAATAAAACCAAATTAGGGGTGTTTTCCGAAGGAAATCGTGTGTACATTACGAATTTCTTGTTTTCGTCGTTTGTACATTGATTGTTAATGAGTTAAATCCATTTGAAAAATCATGGTCTAAGTTGCGCGTTCCTATACTATCGACCTCTGCGCATTGTTCTGTGTTTAAATGGGTTTTTATTGCATTATTCTTTGCTTTACGAGTATAAACATTGAATCTAACAGAAATTGTACTATTGAAATGTGGATTCTGCATCAAACTTGCATTGAAAGAAATATTGCGCGCATCTACGTCATAATAAGTCAGGTGAGAGGGGCCGCGATGAGAGGGGATTCATTTTTAGCCACCATGTTCATTTCGGAGTGCAGTGGAGAGTCATTTTCGGAGTGGAGTATTATTGAAAAGCATTATTGGGGAACGTCCGTACATTCGAATTAATCGTATGGAAATGCATTAACCATAATTTTGAGGAAATAAAAATTTGATTTTGCTTCAATTGAGAGTAAAATCCTTCTCCTTTATGAATCCCTTAGATGGAGCTCAATTTTTCAATTTGTTCCTAATTTATAAACATTTGAAAAAAGTCATGAGCCTCCATTTTGCCGCACTGCCCCCTATATACATTAACGAGTAGCAGTGATAGGATCTGCGAAAGCCCATTTAGACACAGAACAAAGAGCAGAAATCGCTAATATAGAGACGCGCAACTTAAACCATGATTTTTCAAATGGATTTAACTCATTAACAATCAATGTACAAACGACGAAAACATGAAATTCGTAATGTACAAACGATTTCCTTCGGAAAACACCCCTAATTTGGTTTTATTGATCAATTTTTAATTTGTTGTCGGCTAAGATCATGCCGAAATTTAATTAATTTTTTTTAATTAATCCGTTGATATACAAACAAAAATTTTATAGGTACAATCATGTACTAACAATGTACAATCGAGTACATAATTGCGTTTTTCGAATTACTGACTTTTGTCGGGTAAGTACCCGGGGGTTACTAAATGTCCTTTTGGCCATTAAATGTTTGGTATTGAAGAACGCTAAGGCTTTCTTTTTTCAAAATCTTGTACTTTATTTTTTTTGTACTTTCCAAATCTCATTTTCGGTCCCAATGTTGATTCATTTTGCAATCAAATTTGATGTGCTTTCTGAAGTCATTCACTTTATAAATAATCTTTCATCGAACACTTATGATCTTTTTACTCGGAAGAAAAAATTTTATGAAAAAACATAATTAAAGAAAAATTTTACATTTTTTAAAAGAAAATTTCTATTAAACCTTCTTTTGACTACTATTACTATGATAGTCAAAAAGGGTTTAATAGAAATTTTCTTTAAAAAATATGTAGAATTTTCTTTTAATTAGGTTCTTTCATAACATTTTTTCTACATAAAATAAAATATAATAAAATAATAAAAAATAAATAATTCGAAATATAATACAAAATTTGTCTTCTCTCAAAAAGAAATTGGTTTTTACGCTCTCTATCTCAATCAATTCCAAGTCACATACCTCATCATAGCAAATTTTTTGGTAATCATCAAAAAATGAGAGAAATTATATAAGCACTTTCTCTAGCCGTTCGTAAGCATACCATCAATTCATTGATGGAGATGACAGATTGGAAGGAATTACTCAAGGACTTGCTTACTGTCACATCCTCGCTGTCATAGACTTCCGACCTTTTGCTTGTTTATAATTATTTTTTTATAACCATCGGAATGATTTTCACCAATACAATTGCAACAAAGAATTTCGAAATATTTTACATTAACAAGATGAAATTCAAACCAATCATACCATTCGATAGATAGCACATTCTGGCCTTATTCGTTAATTCTCACTCAAAATGAAACACAACTGTTTTTTTATTGAAAAGCATTCAAAAATATTATCAAACAACAAAAATATTTCGTTTCTTTTTGCGAAATGATTTTATTCATAGAAAATGAATGTTTTTATTTAAAAAAGCGTAATTTAATTCCGTTTTTCATTTTTTTTTTGTTTTTTTTTTTTATTGAAAAGGTTTCACGAAACATATGAAATATAATTAGGCAAGAATGTGGAAAAGTGTAACAGCGGGGCGAAGTAGAAAGTGGATTAAATGCAATACCATCAAAAATAATTCCATCCATTATAAACAATGTGAAAAACGAAGTAAAGTAACCATTTAAAAATTGAGACTCTTTCAATTAAACGAAGGCGGAATACTCATATTGATAGTTGGTAGACATTTCTATCTGTTTATTTGATGTTAACAATATTTTATTAAAATAATTTGCATTTTTTCATTGTTCCAATAGAAGATTATGAATCGATGATGGCAGCTCGAGGGGGGCAGATGAATGAAGACGATAACTTGAATCACTTGAATGCCGTTCACGTCATCATTGATGAAATGCTTCTTAAAAATACTTCGTCATCAACGGCTTACCATTCGTTAGGAGAAATTGCTCAAAGCAATCCTCTTGCAATCACACGTACACTGCATGGAATCTTCAAAAAAATTCTGCTGGAAGAAAAATTATCCCCGAGTGATAGAAACTCATACGAGAAACTGATGAGTGATATTATTCATGCCTGTATACGATTAAAGGTACTCAACAAAATGATTGCATCAATTTTAATGGTCTTAAATGAGAGTTTAATGAATACAAATATTATTAGCAAAATTATGCAATCAAACAGAAACATTTTACCTCAAGATTTCATTGATAAGTTCTCCCTGTCAATTTCTAATTCGACCAATTCTCAAGCTGCACGCATCCTGGCAACTTTCGCTCATCATTTGGCTTCTTGTGTGATGCATCTTGAAGACAGAAAGGAAAAGCAGACATTTGCGAATACCTCTTCAGGCTTTGTGACATACTTCGAGGTTATAACACAACTAACTACAGCCTTTTTAGAAGGTGTTAATGTGATTGAAATCACATGGCCATTGTTAGGGAAGCAAAAACTTATCAAGGGATTGTTAAATTTGGGAAAAACTTTTTTTGTATTTGGCAAAGCTTTCACATCTAAAATTGAACACAATAAGTATCAAATAATCAGAGCTAAGTTATGGAAAATGATGAAAAGTTGGCAGACAGTGATTGGATTTATTAACCATTATTACCCAGACGTATTAACTGGAGACGACTGGAGCAATATTTTACATTACATTACGAATTTTGAGAATGATATTGATAACTTTATCGGGAGTTACAACATTCAACTGGGACTAGCTTTCTTGAAGCCCGAAGAAAATAGGATTCAATACATATGGAATTTACCTTCCAATCTTAGGACAAATGAAGCTAACGACGATGAACTCTATGCATTGGAGCAGTCCTGGAGCACTCTGGCGAATAAATATCCACACACTACTCACAATCTGAGTTCCTCAAATGTGTCCCATTTAGCGGAGCTTCTGGTAGAGAACTTACAACTTACCACGGGAATATTGACGATAGATTCATTTCAAAATAACATGAATTTAGTTACTGCCTTCATTTTTGAGATTTTCAGAAAAATTCGTTCAATTTTTGGGGAATCCACTTGTACAACTAAGGATTTACTGGACGAGATCAATAAAGTAAGTAAAAAAATAACTTGGCTGGACGTCGATTTTCCATCAAAATGAGTAGCTTTAAATGAATGGTTATTGCCATTAAAAAACAAATCTGTTGTCTTACATATTATTGAACTTAATTTATAGATGAATTGGTGGACAAATGAGGAACATCAAGACGCATTAAAAACATTAAAATCAATATTAACGACGTCAACGTGGGTTGTACTCAGTGATCATAATATTCTGAATTGCATGATCAAATATCTAAGAGTACTAGTGAGTTTACCATTGATGCATTGTACCACAAATCTAAAGATGATTATCTTTCTGGTAATTTTGTCAATGAAAAAGGAAACATTAAATAATAAATTGATAGACAGTCTTTGTACAGACATTCTTCTCAACAGTTCCGAGCGTTGTAATGAGGATTTCCTACAGTATATCCAACTAGAATCTCATATTTTAGAATTATCAAAATCTCAACACCTTTTTGCAAGAGTCATTGAACGCTCATTGACAAACCCCTCAAATTATATGCCTCTGAAACGATTGTTCAGTTCTCATCACGACAATAGAGAAATATTAACAATAGTCATACAGTCCATGGAGGAAATGAAGCTAAAATTGAAAACTGAGCATAATCGGAGACTTCTTATGAAATTCGAAAAAAAATTATTGAAAAAACTCTTGTCTCATATCGATGATGAGTCTTCAAATATACATCAATTGAAAACTTTGAAAGTTGCATTGGAAGCTGCCATTGCCTTAAATGAAGTCGACAATCATCTTATTAATACCATTCGCTCAACTTTACCAATATTGATTACAAAATTAACCGAGGGTATTGATGGAAAGGATACAGAATTTGCGATGGAAAGTTCTAATTTGTTAAAAGTTATTCTTCAATACAGAAACAGTGGGGTGTTGATAGATATCATGACGCTAAAAAATATCTGGAGGCTTATCTTAAATGGATCATGTATGAATAGTGTTCCAGTGGTCATTGAAGCCAGTGATGTACGAATCCTCAATTACAGTCTGCACTTGCTTACAAGGAATACTCTGAAATCACTGAAAAATAGTGATGAGCATTCTTTTGAGAACTGTTTGATTATTTGGACTGCTATTACTAAGGCAACTATGCAAACAAGCCACGACAAAGTTCGTCAACGCGCTCTTCAGAAGCTGATTCAATTAATCACAGCAATAGAAGGCTGTTTCGATCAGAACCTGCAGTTGAACATCATTAAATTATTTATTGCTATCATGAGCTCGAGAAAAATGATCGTCATAAACAAAACCATTGACATAATTCTGACCCTTGCTACTAGGTTCATGCACGAGCAGTCAGAGGCTCTATCTCTTACTCAAAAAATTATGGACTTGTGCTCTTCGTTCCTAAACTTTCGACCCGAACTGGCCGTTGATTACCTCTCCATTATTCTGAGATTATATTTGAAAGCGGTTCAAACTACTGTTGAGGCTGCGAGAAGAAGTCCTGAGCAAAGACAATTGCAATGTTTAATTATTTTGAAGATACAAAAGTTAACAACTATTTTTGTGAAATTTAAAAAAATTGTAGGAAGACATAGTCCTTACATCATTGCAGATATGATCAAAGTCTATTACGGAGGAGAAGTCATACCTAAGTACGTTAAGGTAATAATTTATGCCCAAACCACGTTTTTTCTAATTCTGGTTGTCATTTTCTATCTCTCACGAAAGTGGTGAAAAAAAACGTATAAAAACGTTTTTAAAAACTAAAAAATATGTGCAGAAAATGAGTTCACGAAAAATATTTTATGTTTACAGGAACCTCTCGATGATTCTGTCAGTCAACTGATGAGTATGTGCGACCAACATGCGATTTCATTACTCTTCAGAGTTATCCCAATGTCGATGCAAGAAACTTTTAAAAATTCGTATAACACTCATATTAAATTTTACAAATTTACTGGTAAAATTTAACCTTCTCATGGTCATGTAATTCTTCCGACTTTATAGCAGTGCCTGGCCATGTCTGCTCTTATGTGGTTTGTTTATCATTTCATTTTTGCAAAGACAAGTACAAATAACTACTCGTTCCATGCCGCGATGCTCTGGGGAAGATTAATGCCCATTCCCGGGGTTCGATTTATATCCTAGCACGCCTTGGACGTGAGAAGGTTAATATAATATAGGTTAACTTACCAAATCATAAGATGTATCTTTCATGACACATATTTGTTCACCACAACTCTCAATTTGTCTATTGAATAATCATCATGGCGACGCTGGTTTAATTCACTAGTTTTGTACAACGGAGAATATGCAATAAAACTGTCAAACTCTCTGCTTTTGGTTTAAATACCATGCATTTTGATTGCCCTTTCAAATTTCTAAGATTCCCGAGGCAACGAAACCTGACAGAAACCAGCCGCTAAAAAATTCTGACTACTCCGCGGACTTTCGGTGGTCGGTTTCACAATGCCGAGCTAGTATCAGTACGACACGGTAGAGTGGGCGACGTTCACCAACATTTGAGTAACTCTGATTACCGACTCCAGCTGCACTCGCGGCGTCGTTAAATGAGAACTATCGCGGGATACATTCCCCAAGTCATTCGCGGAGGGATGTGGCCATCCCTCTCACGTTTCCTACTATCCTCTAGCATGGCTGGACTCTTTAGGAGTTATAGATCATTAGAGAATCTTTTTCGCCCAACAGGGCGCTAAACATCTCAAGGCACATGTCACATACATTGGCATCCGGAGACCTCTCTCATCTATGATGATGCTTAGTAACAGCAATCTCATCGCGAGCCAAAACCAGAGCTACTTCCCATGGAGACACGTCCGATCGGGCCTACGGGAATCGACTCGATTCCCAACGTTTAATCCATCTCAACACCACGAGTTTCATCATGGAGGTGGGTCTTTGTGGCCCAAAGCGTTCGCTCTGCAGCCACAAAATAATCCATTCCACTAGTCGGGGATGTGTCCCCTTCTCTCACTATTCCAAGGGATTATTGCTACTAACTGATGCCGAGCTTCTAAGGCATCCGCTTGACACCTGCACTCAGCGCTAACTGTCTCGAGATCTCCCACGGTCTTCTCTCCCTAGTCTGACCTGTTGATCCCTAGTTTAAACCGACGGTGCCTTTTGGAATTACTTAGTTGGAATGCTTGTATGTTGGCGCTGGACTCCCTAATGCAGCTGAGGGTATTTCCAAAATAGCCGACAGTTGTCGTCAGCGTCATCAGTGCTCCGAGATATGGTATCACCCTACTACTCTTCCCACTATGTGATTGATCTCACTCACCTTCGGAGCGGCCTGATTGGCCGTCATCCGATGCCCTAGTCATCTTTCGCTCAGCTCTTTCAACCCGCGTTAAATATCGCTGATTACACCTGCTAATTTTCATCTTATTTTTCACTAGTGACGAGAAAATCGTTATTCGTATATCTCGTTACAACTTAAACTTGAAAACATTTTAAACGGCAAAGGTAGACAACCTCAGCACTCGGAGATACCCCAGCTCTCGACCTTCATTAAACAGAATTGCTCCAAGTATAAAGTTTATGGCTGCACCCCCTTCAGGTCCATGTTGCCCTGCATGCAGGCAAGAGTAGTGCGAATATTCGACTATTCCAGCGGATTACGGGCCTAATGAGATAAAATAGTATATAAAACCCGTGGGTTATGTATTTTATGACTCGTGGGATTGTAACACTCGCCTTCGGCTAGAAAATGCATCACGCACTTGTTGCATAATGTACTATTTTTTTGTATTCGGACTTTTTATGCCGGACAAAAAATGAAGATGAGATGGGCGTTGAAATTCAACTGTTAATGATGAAAGTGAAAGTGGGATGATCGTGAAGTTGAGAGAAAGAAAATTAACTTGTCCAATTCTCATTACATTACATTTTTTACATTTTTTTCTTTCTCCTATTACCATAGTTTTTACGGTTTGATAGGCACCCCTTCGTCTTAGCCTTTAGCCTCTTCTACTATCCTCATATTAGCCTCTCCTACTATCCTTTCATTATTTTTGCGGTGTCATGGGCCGACTTTCCGTACTGCGCCCATTTGGCTTGTACTGAGGGAAACCATGGAAAACCTCAGTAGCGTAGCCGGCCGGTAATGCGGGGATTCTGCTGTCTTCATCAGTCACACTGACTCGGTGAACACAGCAGCTCTCTACAACCGTGCCTAACGGCGGCAGTCTGCACGTCGAGGCATGTGACTAAGCGGGCACCCATCCAAGTACCAACCCAACTGAGCGTTGCTTAGCCTGGATGACCGCCGAAGTCACACACCACCCGCGTGGCTACTGTCGCCGCTTCCAATTCTCATTATATCTCACATTTTTTTTTAAATAAAGAAATTCCCCTTCCATGTTTTGTTGAGATTTTATATTCAAGAGAGATACTTTTTTCCAAAAGCACGGAAGATAAAACTTTTCTAGACCAGCTTGAGTGATATGAACAAATAAGTGGAAATATTAGCAGTGATGAAAATTTGGACAAGCAGAAGGCTGGGAATGTATGACAGCGAGGATGGGACAATGAGCAAATCCTTGAGTGATTTTTCCAATGTTTCATCGCCATTAATGAATTGATGTTATGCTTCTGAGCGGCTAGAGAAAGTGCTTATATCTTTGTATGAGTTCTTTTATTTCTCTAGATTAGATTAGCTTTAAGTGCGCGGATGGTCGGTCTAGCCTCCCCAATGCCATCGAACTCAGATTAGAGTTATTGTAGCTCCGCTTGTTTTCTCCACGGATTATATGTCCAGTCCGGCCTTTGTTGCTAGTCTTAACAGATTCGTTGCATCCTTGTTCGCGACTTCATTTCCGATGGGGAAGGCAGTTCCCCACCAGCGCAGTCTCGTCGCTGTTAGAGCCGGACAGTTAGATAGGATGTGTAGATTGTCATCTTTTGCTACATTACAGATCCTGCACCACCCATCCGAGTCTATGCCGATGACTCTGCAATGTTCCAGACCAGGGCTGGGCAAACTCTGCTCTGAGAACAAAGGCCCTTCTCCTCCGCTGAGATCAACCGAAGTGGGGGTGACGCTTAAGAAAAGGAAAAGAGGAGAAATGAGACTCAAGTAAAGGAAAAGCAGCGAAATAAGTCGATCAGAAAAATTTCAATTTTTTTTCATGTGTGCATTAAAAAATAATCAGATGCGCGACAAGTTTTACCCTTCCGGAGGATAAATTCTTGCCAGATGCTTCATGGGATACTCCCCATCTTAGTACCTGTGAAGCCCTCACTACTGCCCCCACTATGCTAGTACTAAGACCCTTATTATTGAAATGGTTGTAAACTTTATTGGATTTCTAATTCGAGTTTATGGCTCTGCTCCGAGCGACCAGGAGATTGCCCATGCCTGTTCCAGACCACTTCCAGCTGGTTATCAGCACGAACCCGTCCCATCAGCTCAATGCAGTCGTTTACAAGTCGAGAGCAGCTTTCATATTTGAGTGCCCTCAGTGCACGCTTGCTATTTGAGCAGATGTGTGTTTTCTTGCCCCTATCTCCTCTGTCCAGGATATTCCTGGTACAGGCCTTCAGGGCAGTAAGTTTTAACTGAAGCGCAGTCCTATACGGGTCCAATCCGACAGCCCTTGCAGTTGCAGGGCCCCAGACCAGATTCCTACTCCCGCTCGGTCGCCAATTCTGGAGCCATCCGTGTTCCAGAACAGACCGTTTGGTGGCGTCCCCTCTATGTCACCCCCTGTCTGGATTGCTCCACTACCAAGATTGACTTTGTAGCCCTTCTGGAAATGCCATTGTGGCCTGCAGGCATCTCCCCCCGTGACAGCAGCCCACGAGGATCCGCATCCGCAGCAAGGATAGCCGCGTGACCACAACTAGCTCCGTTCCACTGGCCTTGGAGCCACAGTGTCACCGCCGAGATTAGTGCCACCTTCTTTACATTGAGGTGGGGCGGCTGCAGAAAGAGCAGAGTTTGCAGTGCCGAGGTGGGGGTCCTTCTAAGTGCCCCCGTAATTCCCAGCATAGCTAGTCTACCCGTCCTATCTACCGTTATCCTGTGGCAGTCCTTGTTCATAGCCGACCACCAGACAACAGCAGCGTACGTCAGCTGCGGGACCATTATAGCCATGTAGATCCATCGCACATCCTCCTGCACGCCCAATAAGTCATAATTATCTTGTTTGTCTGCATGGCGATGTGCTTTTACCAGCTGAGCCTTCTATCGAGCCAAACACCCAGGTATTTTATCTCCTCAGAAAAGCCCAGTACTGTGTCATATATAGGAGGGAGGTCTTACGACACACCTCCTCCTGTTGGTGAACTACACCATCTCCGCCTTGCTTGGATTAACCCTAAGACCATGAAAGGTGCATCACTGCCGAATATAGTCCAGCGACTCCTGCATCTTCCGGTGTCGTATAGGGCATTCGACTAGCATTGCTAGCCACAAGCAACGCCACATCGTCTGCGTATCGAATGGTACCCCCAAACCCTCAAGCCGGTCGAGGAGCCTATTTACGACGAGGAGCCACAACAAAGGCGAAATGAATCCCCCCTGGCGGCAGCCTTTTCCCGCTAGTGCCATAACCTTGCTGTTCCCGAGGATGGAGTAGACCATCCTGGTTCGGAGCATGGTAGCGATCCATCTGATGATGGGTGTTTCAATCCCAAAGGACTCTGCTACCCTCTCCATGATTCCAAACGAATTTTTGTCTAAGGCTCCTTCTATATCCATAATATACCAATGGTATCCTCTTTCCTCTCCTTCGCTCTTTCAATTGTTCCTACCAGGTTGTGTAGTGAAATCTCAGTCGATCTGCTCGCCTGGTATGCATGTTGCGTTGTGGGGGGCTGATGGGAATTATGTTCAGCACTCTCCCCTTAATGTGCCTATCAACGAGTCTCTGCAGCGTCTTCGACAAGAAAGAGCTTAAGCTGATAGGCCGATAAGCTTTGGCGTTGTCATAGCTGCACTTACCGGGTTTGGGAATAAATACAACCTTGACCTTCCTCCATCTTCTTGGGATATGCCCTAAGGGAAGACAGGCCCTTAGTGTTAGCAGCCTATGCAGAAGCCACCCTCCCTCGCTCTGCCGAAAAGGATATACCCCGCCTTTGTACATCTGAAAGGAGTCCACTGCCCACTGCAGTCTGCTCAACGTCACGATTTTCGAGGCCAGGTTCCAATCTGAACCGTCCCCTCCTGGTGATATTTGATCCAGTCCAGAGCACCTCTCTGTCTGGATAACTCAATCGGGGAAGTGCACCTGTACTAGATGTTCAAGAATTTCTTCTAGTTGGGTGATAGCTGCACCGTTGGGAGCGTAATTCCACCCATACCTTGTCTAGGTCCGCCGG